GTTTAAAAAAGAGAGTTTGTAAGAAAAGTGTAAGTGGTCCATTTTTTCAAGATAAAATAATCAACAGTGATTAAATATTTACTGAAAGTTTTCTAACTGCTTGATAGAGTTTATGCACTTAGAGAGACTCTGGGCAAGTGGAACATTGAGGGAAAGATATAAATAATGAGTAAGGGAATCTTGGTAAAAGGTAGGCACAAGCACAGCAATAACAGCATGGTCCAAGGGCACCTGAAATATCTTCTCAAAAACATCTGCATCTGCAAATTAAAAATAGACAGTACAGTGAAGACACACAAACTCAAACTGAGAAGAAGACCAGGGAACTCGTGGGCATCATTTGGAAAGATTGTCCCTCCCCCAGTTCTCAGCCTATTGAAAAACTGGGGGAAGTTCTTCCTCCATGGTAGGGTGATGAAGGGTTTGCTGTGACTGTTCTGTCTGTGTGTCTATCAAACACCTAGGCATACAAAAATGACCACGTTAAACTCTCCCTTTTGCTGTTCCAAAAAAGTGATGCCCTTTTGCACTATTTCTATTTACTGTAGTATTAGAAGTCATAGTTAGATCAAGTGGAAAGAGAAAGTCATGAAAGACATCTGAATCTCACTGAGTTGACTTTGGAAATGTTGTAATATCATGTAGGCAAAACCACAAACACTGCACCAAATGACTACTAGAAATAAAAGCCATACTCAATGAAGTTGAGGGATGCAAAATTAATATACATTTAAGTAGCTTTCCCGATAGTGACAGTGATTTCATTTTCAGATAAATTAAGGAAACAAATATGAAACCATAGAATTACTCAAAAAATAGTGAAAATCCCCATGACATTTGCCTGCATGATATCTTGGGATATGACCACCCCCCCCCACCCAGCAAATCACAGACATGAAAAGCAGAAAGAAGTTGATGGGATCGCATCAAACTAAAGGCTTCTACACAACAAATGAAACGATGAATGTAGTGATAAGAAAACCTACAGAATGAATTTTGATTCCTGACTGGATAATATGGCAAGATTAAAATAGGAGGAAATTGGATTTCTCATTGCTAAAACAAGAAGGAGTCAATATGCTCTTCAAGTCTACCTATTGTATGTGGATAAAAACCTCTGTACAAGTAGAGGTTAATAAATAGATGAAAGATTTATACCAAGTGCTGCCTAATTTTGTCTGACTTCTCTCACGTTTTGAATCCACAATGCAACATGATTCTACTATTAATTTTTGCTTCCTTCTTATTTAACCTGATCATAGGATGAAGATAAAGCACAATAATTTGATAAAGCTTTTGAGCTCTTTTTTCCAGATTATCAAAATTGATGATTCTTTGCAAAACAGAACGTGATACTCTTATGTTGTCTTTGGGTCAATCAGGATGAGATTTTTTCAATGCCTGCCTAGATAAATTCAGTGGCCCTCCTCGGCCTAAAGCAGCTATACAAAGATGAACCTTTGGCTACTTTGTGTCCCTTGAAAACACCAGATGAGAATATCAAAGGATAAAGGAAATAAAGATAGGAAGAAGGAGACAAATAAAATCGTAACTTAAAAACTGAACCTTTAAGAAGTCTGCAACTTCAATGCATACTCAAACTTTCTCAGTGTTGTCTGTATCTGTGCACCATAGGTTTGTTTATGATGCTTTTCTCCCAGCCTCATCTTACCCAAAATCCATTAAAGACAATATAAATCTATAAATTAGCTTAGTTGAAAAGGTAAAACAGAGAAATGTAACATTAAAAACATATTCAAAGTTTTTAAAGAAATGTTTTGTCTCCTCTTTTGGGAAACACCTGGAAACACGACTTTCTTCTACAAAATAGGGCATCTTTCACCTGTAAAATGAGCTATTGTCTGCCTGTCAATGGACTAACAATTTTCCTGCTGCAGACCATAATATGGCTCTCTTGAAGAACTGTGCTCAATTTTCTTTGAGTATATATTTTATTGTGCTTAATAAACCTCCCTTTACCTTCCTAATTAAAAAAAGATGAGAATTTACCTAAATAGATACTGCCATAGTTACCTCTGTCATTGCTGAGACAAAATAGCTGACTCCCAAAGTTAAAGGAGGAAAATATTTATGTTAGCTCACAGATTATGGAGGTTTTAGCCCACAGTCAGCAGGCTCCAAAGCTGGGTGGTATAGCAGAGGGGCATAACAGAGGAGAAACAGTCCACAGCAGAGCAGGCAGGAGGCAGAAAAGCAGAATAGCAATCAGGCATCAGGAAGCACATCTGCCTCATATCCCATCCAAGCTACAAGCCATTTGGTTGGTGACTCACACCCATGGTGGGGCTTCCTATTATCCAAACCCAGAATTATGCTATACCAATCAGTGGACTAATTTATTGCCACACACCCTTAATCCTGGTATCATATAATCTAATTATATAATCCAGCCAGCTCACAAATGTTCTTCCTATGAGCATATGAAAATTTGAGGGACATCCAGATCCAAACCATAACATTCTGCACCTGGCCACCAAAATATGCTTGTGTATTGCTTTATACAAAAGACATTTAGTCCATCTCTAAGAGTTTCAGTATTGCTCAAAAGCATAAGCCCAAACTCTGCTCTGAGATTTAAGGCAAACTCTTAGCTGTGAGCCCATGTACAAATGAAAAATATTAAAAACCTCTAACATACAATGGCATGAGATAAACATTCCCATTTCAATGAGGAGGTTAGGAAGGAATAGGACCAAAGCAAGTTCAAAATCTAGCAGGGGAACCATTTAATTCTGTATTTCTATGCCCAGAATCTAGATCAATCTGTGATAAGATGTGAACTCCAAAGAGCTTGGGTGACTCTTCCCCTATAGTACTGCAGATGGTAGTATCTCCCCTGGTTTTTCTCATGGGCTGGGTTTGCTCACTCCTTGGAGTTTTCCTCAGATGATTCATGTTCCTGGTTTTTCCAACCTGCTGGCTTCTCCACTAATCCTTCAGCTTCACGTTCACAGCTTCATACACTGTCCTCTCAGGAGCACACTGCATGACCTCTCAGGGCTTCTTCTGCAATGTGGGTGGAAGCCTGCCTGACCCCACAACTCTTTCTGTGTGCACCTAAACCCAGCACCACATGGATGATGTCAAGGTCTGCTGCCATCTGGAGTGGTAGCCTGCTCTCTTTTCCATACTGATCCAGTGCTTAAATCACTGGACACTGTGCACACAGTGCGAGGGGCGGGAGGGCTCTAGGCCATCACCATTCTAGAGCATGGTGCTCTGGTGCTGTCTTCTTAAAGAGAAGTATTTCATCTTTGCATCCTTGAGGCTGCAAAGACTTGAGTTCTTCTGATCCTTGTGATGTCCTCAGGCCATCTTTTCTATTGTCCTCCACCAAAACATTTGGCTTTTTTTGCTAATCTTTTCAACAAACAAGTTTTCTTCTGTTCCATCTTTGTAGGCTACACCTTTACTGTGGTTTCTTTTTTGCCAATCAAAACCTTTTTTACAATCAAAACCTTTCCAACCTCTTCCTACAAGGCAGTTCCAAAGATTCCTGAACCACATGGTCAAGTATAGTCACAGAAACTATTCAACTCTCAGCACCAAATTCTGTTTTATTTACTTTTCTCATTGTTGAGACAAGATACCTATCAGTTGAAAGTTAAAGAGGAAATATTTATTTCATCCCACAATTCGTAGAGATTTCAGCCAAAAGTTGGCTGGTTCCAAGGCAGTGTGGATTGGCAGAGTGGTAGTACAAAGAAACACCAGTGCAGAGCAGAGCATGCAGGATGCAGAGAAGGAGCAAAACAAGGAAGCACCAAACAGGGAGCCTGCCTTTCACTTTTATCATATGCAGGCTACAAGCCATTCAGGTGGTGTTCCAACACCCAGAGTGAGGCTTCTGATTCTCCACACCCAGAACTATGCTAAACCAATCTGTGGACTAATTTATTGCCATACACACTAAATTCCAGTATCACTCCCTAGGTCCAGCCAGCCACCAAAAATCCCACTTATGGGCACATGAAGATTTAGGGGTAGGGGCATCTACTTTCAAGCCATAACATCACACAATATTTTTCCATGAAACTCTAAAATTAACCCTATTGTAAGCAAAATAGAGAAAGAAGGACACGAAAAAGGTAAAATATCATTGTAAAACAAGAATTGCCAATTTGACTGTCAAAGGAATTGATGCAAGATGACTGCAGTGTAATGTATGTTCATCTATAACCTGACCATAGCTTACAAGCCATGTATGATTTGGATTCTATTTTTTATTGGAATCATTTTAATCTCATTTTAAAAATAAAATTTATATTTTTCCAATACGCTCTTGCTACAAAATCCTCCTTTCGATTCTCTAAGTAATCTTAGCAGATGACCTTAAACTTGTTATTCTACATAGGTAAAGTGGTCTCACCATATATTTTCTTATCTTTTTCATTCTCATCATTCTAAAATCAGTTCAAATAATTTCTCCTAAAACACTCTTTGCCTCTCATACCAATTCCATATTCCAGAACATATCTGGCCAATTATTGCATTTTATGTTGTAAGCACTTGCTGCTTTCTAGATTATCTTAGTCTAATTTTGTATGGTTAGAATTTTGTTCACTCATTGTGCATTCTGTGTGAATCAGAAAAGTTTCTTCCTCTCTATTATTCTTGCAAAGAAAAATGTCTGGAAAATAGCACTTTGTAAATACTTGGTGAAAATTGATCCAATAGAGTAAAGTAATGAAAAAATTAGTGAATTTAGGATGTATATCTTGTCTACCCAACATTTGTTCTACTTTGATATTTACCATAGTTACTTTTGAAATTCAAGTTAGCCATCCCAAGAGTTTATTGGAAAACAAATGAAGAGGTTGTTAGTACTTGAAGTGTTGGCTACTGATTAAAGAGAATGACCATAGGGAACAGGATGATGGAGTTGATAAATCTTTCCACCATTTTTCCCTACAAAGAAACTTATACCAGAATAATTCTGTTCTCACATATGAGAGTTATGATGTTCTTCCATTCCGTTCATGGGCTATGTGTCTCACCAGCTTTATTCTTCTGCAGTAAGAAGCGGCATGAGTCCTGCTGAAGGCCACTGTCTCAATCTTTCAGGCATCTGCAGAAGAACCACCTGCAAACTAATCGAAGATGAAATTGGTGCCTGCCGGAGAAGATGGAAATGCTGTCGACCTTGGTGGGTTCTACTTCCTGTTCCAACACCTGTGGTCTTTTCAGACTATGTAGAACCACGTAAACCCAGGTTGAAATGAAATCATGAAAAGCATCAAAAGTAGAGTTCTCTGTCTTTAAGAACAACAAACATTCAGGTTAAATATTTCCAGTTCCTTTACCAGCTTTCATTACGAATATCAATAAAAGCAAACAACAAATAAATAAATAAATATTGATTTCAAATACGCCCCGATGTTATTGCTTTATGAATTTTAAAAACTGTAACAGAATCTTTAAGAAACAATTTTTCTGTGTTGTCACAGAAAGACCAAAATTCAAACAATAAAGTTACGATAATGAAGATAGAATTATACAAAACTTAATTAAATATGTAGAAAGAGAACAGGGAAATAACAAAAATGTACAGGAGTTCTAGGTTATATCAGAATAGAGGGATAGATGTAGGGAGAAAGAAGGAAAAGATGGGATAAAACCAGCACAAAAATGTTGGTATAATAGGTAAAGATTTTTAATTCTTTGATGGTTAATAAAAAAGAGATGAAAATAAAGAGAGAGAAAGTAGGGGGAGATTCAAGAAGAAAGTAATTTCTGTGATCAAATGCCTGAATGTTAGGTATTGTAAAAGTTCAAACCCAACCAAGAGATTTTCAGGTTTTCTTCATATGAACAAACATCATAATCATTTAGAGATAATCTCTATTTAATGCAGTAGACAAATTATTTTCCTCCAATGAAGTGAAACATTTTAGGGTAAAAATATAGTCACCTTTTTGAAGTAAAAGCTGTGAATATCCACTCCAAGTTTGGATGTTCCATTAATCCTGCAGGCAGACTCATTTTCTTCTCTTTTTCATGAAGTTTCATTTGCCTTTGCTGACTATGACAAATCCTCAGTTGTACATCAGGATTCATGCTGACTCTTGGAACCAGCCTTACTTTACATCATTCACAAGATTTTGTGGACTGTAAACATACAATTGGACTCACTTTCTTTCCACCTAGAATGCAATGTTTATGAAATACCTAGTTTATTTTTAAATTATCAGAGTGTGGCTATTTTACACATTAATTAGGGACAACCTTGACTAAAGTTGGGGGGAGAGCTTAAATATAGTGGAGGTAGGCCACAGATTAAGACTAAGAGTGTACATGGGGAGAGATCTTAATTATTTCCTCTCATTCTTCTCTGATTCCCTCCTCTGCACTCTCAGAACAGAGCTAAGCCCCACAGCCGAGATGCTCTTGTTTCAAAAGGGCTCCCGTTTCTGTTGGACACAGATAATAAACTGAGTTCTTTCCAGCTTCTCATTGCTTATCCATACCTGGACTTTACAAAATTGGGGACACAACTATTCTAAACTCCCACAAATGCTCCTCAGTCTAAAGTTAAAGAACAGAGGCTCACTCAGGCTATCTTGATTATTGGACACAACACTCGACTTAATAATTCAATATGTTGACTAGTTTTCATGAGAAACGTGTGTGTGTGTGTGCACAGACTACTAGCATTTTAATTCAGAATTGATAAAGATGTGACAAATAGGGAAGCTATCCTCACACAATAAATGTTACCATCTAAACTTAGGTGTAATCTTTCTCTTCTGCAGTGCCACAAAAATGAACGGTGCATGATCTCAAATACAGAGTCTAACTACTGTTTACATTAATAACAATGTCAAATTTCAAGTGACCATAATTTGGTGGGACTCATTCTAAACTGTTCTGTCTCATTAGTCCATATGTTTAACATTATAGCAAAGCTAAACTCCAAGGTGTCTTTCTTTTCACCTTATAGGGAGCCATGGGGATGTGCCCAAACTTTGTTGACTCTTTCATGTCTCGAAATCTTTCCTGCGTATCTAAAAGCTAAAGCTAAATGCTCTACCAATTACAGGAAGTTTTAGAAACAGGGGCCACGGGTATAACTCAGTGGCATAGCACCTACCCAGCAAGCTCAAGGTCCTGAGTTCAATTCCCGATAACAACAACAACAAAAACACTCCAGACGTTCATACATTCAATGTTGTTTTGCAGAAGTCTGATACTTCTAGCCTTTGCATCACAAAACTTTTAGAAGCACATTATCAGTTTCTACAAGTAATAAAATCTGTTATGATTTTTGTTGATATTGTATTTAATATATAGCTTATTCTTTGGAGAATTGACATTTTTACTATAACCAGCCTTCTATTCCATCCACTCTTTTACTTCTTTAATTCTTTCCTTTACAGTTTGATACTGGTTGTGTACAAATACTGCAAACATTTTTCTGGATGTTCTATAATTATTTTATGCTTTTAAACTTATTTTATAATGTGTTTTTCTCAATATTCAGTTGCTCATTGGTTAAATATTGTGATACCATTGACTATTCTATAGTGTTTCCTATAAAGTTACTAAAATCAATTGTTACTCTAATGATAATTATGGAAGATTTTAACAATTTTTCCATAAAAAACGACACTGTCCTCTGTGAATAAAGATAATTTTCTTTATTTACATTTCAATAAATATGTCTTTACACCTATGCATGTTATTTCTTTTTCTGGTTTTATGATACTATACAATACATGTTGAACTGACTAGGCATGAAAATCTTAGCTTTTTCCTTTAATAAGAGGAAACTCATTCAAATCTTCACCATTGAGTATCATGGTGCTTAAGATTTTGCATAGCTACTACCAGTAGGATGAGAACTTTCTCATTATCTATGTTTCTGAGTTTTGAATTATAAGTGGATGTTTTATTATATTTATGTTGTCAACTGTTTATACTTTCATTAGTCTCTTGATAAACTAAGTTACATTGCATTTCTAGGTAGTACACCATTTATTTATACTTTTGAAACATTAATATATAAAATTTGCTAAAATTTTATGAACAACTTTGAAGTTTATAAGAGAGTGTTCATTTTATTTGGTTCAGTTTTAGTCATTTTATATTCATGCAGGTTTTGCCTGGTTTCTCATGTAGATTGGGGTACAAGTGGTTTCTGTGAGTCAACATTCATTGAGAAGCATTTCCTCCACCTTTTAATTTCTGAAAAAAATTTGCAACATTGGTGTCCTTATCCTTAAATGTTTTAAGGGATTATTTTCCCAGTGACAACACTACATTTTAAATTTCCTTTCTTAGTATACTTTAAAGATCATATTAAATGTATTTAACACATATAGGACTACTCATGTTTCCTATAACTTCCTTATTAACTTCATGAGTTTGAATATTTCAGGAAATATGACCATCTTAAATCTTATTAAATCAACAGGTATAAAATACCATACCTAAAATTTTCTTATTAATTTTTCAGATCTATATTCATAACTTCACTTTAAAAAAGTAATTAGTGAAATGCAAATGAGTTTATGTCATTCACATCTTTTTCTTTATCATTCTGTCCATGCATTTTTCTATGTGTTTATCACTTTTTTTTTTAATTTTAAAGATAAAAGGAGGGAAACATTAACAGACATACAACATTTTACAACATATCACAAGTACAATACCGACAATACAGAGTTACAAACAAAGTGGTAGGGAATTAACAATGGTGGTTGTATTACATATTGATATCTTCAAAGTGGCTTCTCATGAAAACAGATATAGACATGCAATACTGGTCAACCAAAGGCTCATTGACAGTTTCTTTCAGCATAGCAATAGAAGACAGAAGAACAACCATGTTATCTATCCTGTATATACATGCATACAAAATTTCTCCTTCTTTCCCTTCTCTTTTCCCACATCCCAGAAGCCCTTTACTCTTCAATGGTTTCCTATCATTTCACAGTGTCTATCATACCTCCGAGTTTAAATTAACTCTTTCAAGTTTTACACTAGTGACACAATGCAGTGCTTACACATATATGTTTGATTTATTTCACTTATGAGTATGGTCTCTAGTTGTGACCATTTAAATATAAAGGCCTCGAGTTTATCTTTCTTTACAGCTGAGTAATATTCCATTATATAAAAGTACCATAATTTTCTTATCCAATCCTCAGTGGATATGTGTTTATCACTTTGTAGTATTGTCTTCGGTCTCGTTTTTAGTCTCATTTGCCTTTTACTTTGGATTCTTTTATTTCAGTGCTCATTATTTGCCTTTTATTTCCTTAGTGTTAATTTGTTTTTATGTTTCTTATTATTAATTTCATGAGAAAATCCTGCTTCCTAACTAGTGAATCCAAGGATAATGTAAAAATATTGCAACAGTTGTACAAAAGGCAAGGAAAAATTATGCAGTAGAATGCCAACATATGAAACCACCCCCATGTTCTCACCGTGTCTCTCTTAAAATCATTTTGGGTTTTGGTTACCATCGAATGCTGATCAAGAGAAAAAAAAGTTTCAAGTTATTGGGCTGAATTTTATCACTCATCTTTATATAGTATAGTAAATGTTTACATGCAAATAAGACATAAAATCTAATCCTGAATTTCTGAATTTTACAACTTCTTCTGCAGTTCATTCCCAAGAGGTTGAAAGAGATTTCCCTGAGACATGAAGCAGTGTTATTTGTTCCATTTGAGGAACTTTAGCTTTCTGGATCTAACAGAGCACACGTAGTTTTGCTCCGACTTCTCAGGATTACCTACACTGGCTCAGAGGTTAATCCTGCGTTGGTAACTTGAAGTGTAAATGGCTGGTTTTGTCTTGCTCAGAGGGGTTCTAAGGAGTGTGCACTGCACCAGATCCTTCCTAGACCTGCAGTTTAAGCACAGAAATTGAGGCAGGGATGGTAGAGACAAAGTTTCCAGTTTTCCTTTGAAAGTCCAAAGGTATGGCAGGTAGATGAAACTTTGAAGGGCAGGGTGAGTCAGGGCCACGTGTCACTGAAGACCCTCTGTGTTTGCTGTAAATTCACCTTGGACTTTAGATACAATGGAAAATGGCATGCATTTTAACAGGGTGACTATAGAGCACTGATCGGATTGCAGGTTCAGGCCTTTATGCAACTAGGATCTTGTGCTCCTGAACTGTTCACTCCTGATCCTCCCTGGAGAAGCAAGTATGGAGGAATCCATGCTGGTGGGGAGGAAGATGGTGATTCTTTATACAAGGGAAAGACCAGGGAAAAGGAACGGTGGGAGGAGGAGAAAGAACAGAGTTGCTCTCTCTCTGCTGGTGCTAGGATGGGGAT